CTAGGCTGGACTCGCGATCCAATGCCCTGAGGGAAAGATGGCTACCCCTTCTTCATGTTTTCAGACGTCTACAACTGGCGCACATGAAGTAAAAAGATCTGTAACGTAGTTTATGTATTTATTTTGAGAGATTTTTGCTATAGGGTGGGTGTACTCAGTGGAGAGACAGAGAGACATAGGGTGAGTAATAACCATTCTCCCCTTGGGATCTTAAGCACCCATGCACACATGCCTGGTGTGAGTTTCAAGCTGCCAGGTCCAGGACTCGAACTCTGGTTGACCACGTGGGAGTCTAGCACCTTATCTACTATGCTACCTACTGGCCCCATAACATATTTAAACAGAGAAAGATCTATTCTATTTTTTTTAAAAGAGGTTTTCGCCTTAGGGCACATGTACTAGGAAGGGGGAGTGAGAGGGAAAGTGAGAAATCACCCCCTGAGGGAATGGTCACACCATGATCCCTTCTCCTTCATTTTCCTCCTGGGCTCTTGGGCATGCACACACACACACACACACACACACCTGGCATGATTTTTCAAGCCACTGGGTCTGGGACTTGAAACATGGTCAGCCATGTGGGAGTCCAGTGATGAAACCACTATGCCATCTGCTGGCCCCAAGGTCTATTGTCTTCTTTAACTAAACCTCTTTAATATTTTTTTAAAACGAAACTGATGTTACCAAACAGAGATTTCCCCATAGTGAATAAGTCTAGAATTTGAAGGGCCAACTCTGTATAGTCAGAGACATACTTAGCATCAATACTATCAAAAGGGACACCCATATATCACATGGTGTGGGTGTTTGAGAATATCAAGGATTATTTTAACCAATTTCATCTGACCCTGAGACCTTATGCCAAGGAGGAAGGAAGGGACATTCCTTCAGTGGTTTCTACCCCCCCAGGATCTCGCAGGATCTGGAAACTGTACGTGGCCCCAGAATGTGAGAGGTGAGACTCTCCTCTCCGTCAGAGTCCCTATGGCTCCCTTGACCTACAGCCCTTGGCTTCTGTTTTGTGCATTGCAAGAGGTTAATCTCTCCTCTCCTCTTTATTACAACTTTAAACTAAAATCTGCTGGCTGCCATGAGAACAACAAAAAAAGTGAGTATTGTTATGAGCAGAAAGTTTGCTGGTGTGTACTCCATTAGTCATTGGAGCAAACTTTTTTTGTTTTTTTTTTTTTTTTTGAGAGATTTTTGCTTTAGAGCACCTGTTTTCACCAGAGAGACAGAGAGAGAGAGAAATCTCCCCAAGGGGGCACCGAGGATAAGCATTATCTATGCTGTAAACTCATAAACAATTTAATAACTCCAATAGTATAAGATGCTTTAACTTTAAAATACTGAAATTTTAAGGAGAGTGATGTGTGAAATTCCAACGTGTTCATTTACTTACTTAACCACTGATTTTTTTTTTTTTGAGAGGTTTTCGCTATAGGGCTCATGAGCTCACCAGACAGAGAGAGAGAGACGCAGAGACAGAAAGCGAAAAATCACCCCACAGGGGGGATGGTCACGCCGCAATCCCTTCTCCTCCATTCTCCTCTCGGGATCTTGGAAACGTATGCACACACACCCGGCATGAGTTTTAAGCCACCAGGTCTGGGACATGAACCGCGGTGGACTACATGGGAGTCCAGCGACATAACCATTACGCTAACTGTTGGTCCCAAACCACTGACATGTAAACAATCTCAAGTCACTCGCTAAAAACAAGGACACCTTCCCTCGACTCCATTTCCTCCTCTAACTACTGCCTTTTTCTCTTCACAGTTCAGCTTCACAAGGGCTTTCTATACTATTTCTCTTTCTTCTCCACCTACTCTCCACTTACTCAGTCCTAATCTGACTTTCACTCCATCTACCAAAACAGCTCTAATGCTCCATGGATCTTTTTCAGTCCTTATTTTACCCGAATGTCCCTGTTTGAAACATTCTTTTCCTTTCATACTCTCCTTATATGTTCCTGTTTTGGGCTGCTATGTGTTAAAATTCCTTTTTTTTTTTTTTTTTTGAGAGAGAGAGAGAGATTTTTGCTGTAGGGCACATATGCTCAGTGGAGAGACAGAGAAAGACATAGAAACTTGAACTGAGAAATCACCTCCCCAAGGGGATGGTCATGCTGCAGTCCATTCTCTTCCATTATCCCCTTGGGATTTATGTGCCCAGTATGAGTTTTATTTTTATTTATTTATTTATCTTTAATTTTTTTTATCCCTTCTCCATCCTCCTCTCGGGATCTTGGGTACACACGCACACATGCCCAATGTGAGTTTTAAGCCACTGGGTCTGGGACTTGAACCGCAGTCGACTACTATGGGAGCCCAGCAACAACCATGGCACTGTCTGCTGGTTCCAGTGTTAAAAGTTCTTAAAGTACAAGTCCTAAGACCCCTTTTCTTTTCACTTTCTAACCTTATTAGGGTAATCTCATTGTATTTTATGCCAACAATACCAAAATTTACATTTTCTTTTCTTTTTTCTTTTTTTTTTTTTGGAGAGGTTTTTGCTATAGGGCATGTGCGCTGGCCAGAAAGACAGAGAGACAGAAAGCGAGAAATCACCCCCCCCGGGGGGATGGCCATGCCGCAATCCCTTCTCTTCCATTCTCCTCTCCAGATCTTGGGCACGCATGCACACGCACCCGGTGTGAGTTTAAGTCACCAGGTCCGGGACTCAAACCACGGTTGACTACATGGGAGTCCAGCAACATAGCCATTATGCTAACTGCTGGTCCCTCGAAATTTACATTTTCTTACCAGACCCATATAACAGTTGCATGCTCTCTATCCCTACTTGAAGTTCTTAGATTCCTGAAACTCCACATCTTCTTTTTTTTTTTTTCTTTTTTGAGAGGTTTTTTTGCTATAGGGCGCGTGCGCTCGCCAGACAGACAGAGAGCGACATAGAGACAGAAAGCGAGAAATCATCCCCCAGGGGGGATGGCCACGCCGCGATCCCTTCTCCTCCGTTCTCCTCTCAGGATCTTGGGCACGCACACACACGTGCCCGGCATGAGTTTTAAGCCACCGGGCCAGGATGCGAACCGCGGTCGACTACATGGGAGCCCAGCGACATAGCCATTATGCCAAGTGCTGGTCCCAAAACTCCATATCTTCTGTATAAAAATCCTAATCTTCACTCCTCCATGCCTGTGTTTGCTAACTCAGTGAAGAGCACTGCAATCCACTCAGCTGCATGATCTAGAGACCTAGGAATTTTTTTTTTTTGAGAGATTTTCACTATAGGGCGCGTGCGCTCGCCAGACAGACAGAGAGAGACATAGAGACAGAAAGCGAGAAATCACCCCCCAGGGGGGATGGTCATGCCGCAATCCCTTCTCCTCCATTCGCCTCTCGGGATCTTGGGCACGCACGCAGACGCGCCTGGCGTGAGTTTTAAGCCACCAGGTCAGGGACTCGAACCGCAGTCGACTACGTTGGAGTCCAGTGACATAGCCATTACGCTAACTGCTGGTTCCCGAGACCTAGGAATTGGTTTTGAAACCTTCCCTTTCCTTAGCCATGCCTTCGTAGTACCCAGTACATTACCAATCCCTACTAAATCTCCCTCAGATCCACTTCTCTCCCTGCATCTGTGTTACCTCCACCACCTATCCAAGTTAACTTCCTTTCCTACTGAACTTTTGCAGTAGCCTTTCACTGGCTTCACAAATTCTTCTTTTCTAGCTTAGTCTGTCCTCCCCACTCCAGCCAGACCATGCTTTTAAAAATGGAAGTCTTATCAAGCTGCTTAAATGCTTAAAACACTCACTTCGCATCATTTGCAGTAAAAGATCATAATCTGAAGGCTTCTCCAGCCCATCTTGCTGCAGGCTCCTTCTAGCTTTATCTATTCCTGACTTTACTATTTTACTTTCGGTTGTTGTGACACACCTTGTTACTTTTCAGCCTCAGGGCGTAGCACAGCTGTTTACCGTCTTTGAACCTCCCTGTGCTCCTCAGGTTGCTTAGGCAATTCCTATGCTATCAATCTGGTGTAAGGTCACTTCCTCACAGAGGCAGTCTTTAGCCTCTGAGACTGAATCACATCCTATTTTGTACTCCTAAGCATCCACTTTCTTTTCATAGAAATTATCATCATTTTTTGTACACATTTTGTCATATACTGATTTGGTTAATGTTTGTCTTGCCTACCCATCTTCAAAACTTAGTGCAGTGCCTGGCACATTATAGATACTCAAAAAAGTTTGTGACTGACTGAATGGAGGAAATTTAATAAAGTCACAGTGACTCACCCAAGGTTGACATGGCCAGGCTAAGACCAGAGCCTGGTATTCTAACTACCAGTTCAGATCACCAGCTTTCTTAACAAAGAACTTGTCCTAGATTATGCTCTGAATCATTGGAACCAAAGCAACTTTGCAACTCATCAAGTCCAATTTTTTTACCCTACCATTTTCTACAGATGATCTTTATTCAGCAAGAGGATGCTGTAGGTATAATTTTTCTTTTTTCCATGAAATACATTCTGCCTTGTGGCTGTTTTGAAGGAGTAGTATGATAAACCATGTCACTATTTTAAACTTGTAAAGCTTCTTGAGATTCTCAGAAGAAATACAAAATGTAGCTCAAAACCAGCAATTTTATCTATTGCAATAGTATTTCCTATTCAAAAAAGGCTGTTCATTTGAGAAACTGATGTCTTCAAAAGAGTATTCTGTTAGGTGGGATAGTCATCATTACATTTCCAGCTGCTGTGTATATAGCTTTTCTTACAAGTGAAAGAGGAGACAACTACTTTGCTGTGTGGAAGTAACTTGTATGTTTTATTAAATCCACAGAAAATATTCAGTGGTTCAAGGAGAGGCTGCTCCATTTGTAAGTCAATTAGGTTTAATGTTATCTGCTATGAAGCTTAAAGATCTGATTTTCAAGGGGTCTTTATGTAATGAAGTAAAATGGAATTATTATTTTTGAACTCCCCTGATTCACGTCAATGACTTCCACCTAGAGGTGATCCATTGGTTATAAATGCCCGTGGATTGCTTTACAGACTGTAGGCAGAGTAACCTACAAGGACCTGCTGAAGTGGCACTCCTGGTAAGAGGTGTTTCAGTTTCCATTTCATACCTTGTGGAGGAAGACTCTACTCACACTGATGTGGTGTGTCTGTCTGTCTCAGCTGTGTGTGTAAAGTGTGTTTCTCAGTTGAGGGTATCTGAAGTATTTTCTCCTTTTTTTCTTTTCTTTCTTGTTTGTTTTGTTTTGTTTAAGACTTGTCTTAAGAATTTTAAGTAACTTGGGACCAACAGATGACGTGATGGTTACGTCTCTGTACTCCCACATAGTCGATCCAATTTGAGTCCTGGACCTGGTGGTTTAAACTCACACCAGGCATGAGTATGTGCATGCTCAAAGTCCCTAGAGGAAAATGAAGGAGAAAGGATTATGGCATGGCCAGTCCAGTCCCCCTGGGAGGTGATTTCTCGCTTTCTGTCTCTCTGGAGAGAGCACATGCCCTATAGCAAAAATCTCTCTCTTAAAAAAAAAAAAATTAAGTAACTTAAAGTGTTTTGTTGTTGCTTTGAGAATTACACGTCCTTTGGAGATAATGTGTATTTTTGCAAAGACAAAAAGGGCACACTCAGACTTTCTAGGTGATAACCTTCACTGCTTTACCCCGTATAATATTTCATCATTGGGGGCTACTTTAAACTATTCAATGGGGTTGTGGAGGCTTCATTTACAAATAAATGTAGAAAAAAGATGGCTTCAAAATTTAGGTGGACCTATACACTGTTTAATTTTCCTTGTTTGCCTTTATAGGTGTATTCTCTTCTCTTTGACTGTCTTTCTCAGTGACAATTGAGAGTCCTCTGATTTCTTTTCATTCAGCTTCCTGTCAGTATGTCCAGAGCACCCCTCCTGCTGCTCTGTGTTGCCCTGATGCTACCTGGACATGCACATGGAGCCACACTAAGAAATGAAGAAGAATGGAAGCCACTCAATAATCCCAGAAACCGAGATCTGGTAAGACCTGGGCATGATGGGCTGCAGGGTAAAACTGACATCTCTAGATTTAGGCACACTCTGCTCTGTATTCTAGAACACAGTAGAACATAGAACACCGTGGAAAGAAGACTATCAAAACATGAGAAGACTTCACAGCAGGACTGGACCAGGGTTTTGCAGTCTAGTGGCTGGTGCCTTAGTATTTCTCTGGCCAATTTCTATTGGTACCTGTAAGGAGAAACACATTCACATTTATAAACAATCTCATACACATTTCATTTGTAAATGTTCTTAAGTTCACACTGACTTTATAGCTTCAATTTCTATAGTAATTCACACACACAAAAGCAACAGCATAACAGGGAGTTGCTTTTTAACATGGATTAGTTCAAACTGATGATGAAACAGGTGATCGCATACCTGACATATGCAAAACTGAGTTGCAAAAAATTGAAAGTTGACCCTGCATGGTTGTCAATTCACTAGGCATATTTTCGATATACAGTTATCTAGAAAACAGAACTCAAAAAATCTTTTAAAACTATGCCCAGTACAATAAACATGTTGACATGTCTATTAAAAAATAGTTTTTCTAAAGAAAGTGCAATAATACATAAAAATATAGGATTAGAACAATGGAACAAATAAGACGTTGTGCAAGTTCTATATGTTCATTTCCTAAAGGAAATCTTAAAGAAAAAACCGTGTCAGGGCCCGGCACAGCTCGGAGACCCTCGGCATCCCTGCGAACATGGCGCTGTGAGCGGCGTGGAGCGTGCGGACCGTGGCCTGCAGCCTGAGCTGACCCTCGGCGCCCGCCAGCCCGCCGTGCCCTGCCCTGCCCGCCACGGCCTTGAGGGCTGTGGGTGGGCCCCGTCCGGACGCTGCGCGCGGGCCGACTCTGCTGTCCGTGCGTAAATTTACGGAGAAACATGAGTGGATAACAACAGAAAACGGTATTGGGACAGTAGGAATCAGCAATTTTGCACAGGAAGCTTTGGGAGATATTGTTTATTGTAGTCTGCCTGAAGTTGGGACAAAACTGAACAAACAAGATGAGTTTGGTGCTTTGGAAAGTGTAAAAGCTGCTAGTGAACGCTATTCTGTCAGGGGAAGTCACTGAAATTAATGAAGCTCTTGAAGAAAATCCAGGACTTGTCAACAAATCTTGTTATGAAGATGGTCGGTTGATCAAGATGACACTGAGTAACCCTTCAGAACTAGATGAACTAAGGAGTGAAGAAGCATATGAGAAATAGGTAAAGTCTATTGAAGAGTAAAAGAACCCTTAAATAAAGTAGTGTAAAGCAACTTAATCCAGGCATAGTTGTCTTAAATTAGTGGTTGATAGAAGGCTTAAATTGCAACTTTTAGCAATACCAGTGGAAAAAGAAACGGCTCTGAACACTACTACTGGAAAGAAAAACCCCTTAACTTTCTAATGATCATATTTTTAATAAACACAAAATGCACCTTTTTTACAATATTCTATGATTCTTAGTCTATGTACAAGTATTCGGAATTCATGAAATTATCTGTGATTAAAAACTCGTTATAAAAATTATGTAATTAGTGATAACACTGTTCACCTAAGCCTTATAGAACACTGTGTATAACCATCCCTGGATGTGGGTCAGAATACTTCATTTCCTCTCCATTGGAAATACGTGGGAGTGGAGCAAAGTTTTTGTTAGTTGTATAGTGTTAAAGAGCAGTACTATTGTAGTATCCCCATATACTGCATTTGCTGGTGCTATTTTATACAGTTGAAGCAACAGCTTTGTGTCAAAGTAAGACATAATAAAATATTCAATTCCTCCATTAAAAAAAAAAAAAAGAAAGAAAAAAGAAAAAACCCTATCTGAAAATAAATTGTTGAAGGAGGCAAGAGCTGGATCTCATCTTCAGGCAGAGTAGACACCGAGCTGATCATTATGGAGTTGAAGTACATCTCTGACCTCAGTACTCTGAGGTGGTTCCCAATGAACCTTCTGACTGCTGTTAAAAAATTTATATTCTCGGGACCAGCAGTTAGCGTAATAGCTATGTTGCTGGACTCCCATATAGTCGACTGCAGTTCGAGTCCCGGACCCGGTGGCTTACACTCATGCTGGGCTCGTGTGGTGCATGCCCAAGATCTAAAGAGGAGAAAGAAGGGATTGCGGCATGGCCATCCCCCCTGGGGAGTGATTTCTCGCTTTCTGTCTCTCTGTCTCTCTCTGTCTTTCTGGCGAGCACACGCGCCCTATAGCAAAAAAACTCTCAAAAAAGAAAAAAAAATTATATTCTCTTAGTTTTACTAAGAATGTGAAATACCTTGTTTAGTATTGAAATATCAGCAAGAAGACAGGCAGAGAAGAGAGAAGGGAAGAGAAGAAGTAGCAAAGCCAGGACTTTGACTTCCAGATCCAACCTCCTGTCTCCTAGATTAGCCTTAAAGTCAATTAAGTGGCAAAATAGAGAGGGAAAAATATGTTCATCTTTGAGTATTTCTGGTGTTTAATAAATGTAACATTGAACTTTTTTTTTTTCTCTGTCTTTAGTTTTTCAGAAGCCTTCAGGCATATTTTAAGGGCAGAGGTCTTGATATTGAGAAGTTTCCAAGTACTTTCTCCATGAATGAGAATCCCAGACCTCCCTCTTTCCAATCAGAGTTTATTGCTTCTGCATTTGCAGATTACGAAAAGCAGAAAAACTCCTTTCCCAATTATCTCAAAGGCTGAACATTTTTTCTGAGCTCAGGTAAGACTTGTCCCTTTATTTCCAAAATCTATGCAAACAGACAACTCAGCCATAAAGTAGAGATTTTGAAAGTATTGGGGCCAGCAAGTGGCATGGTGGTTAAGGTCTCTGGACTCCCACATGGTCGACCGTGGTTTGAGTCCCAGATCTGGTGACTTACTTTCTAACTCTCTTTCTCTTGCTTTGTCACTCTCTGGTCAAATTAAATAAATAAATAAAAGTTAGATTAAAACAAGAATTAAAGAAAGCATTTATTGGAAATGATTTTCTTTCTTTTCTTTTTCTTTTTTTTTATTTTTAAGAGAGGTTTTTTTGCTATATAGGGCACTTGCACTTGCTGGAAAAACAGAAAGCGAGAAATCACCCTCCTAAGGAGGATGGCCACACCGCAATCCCTTCTCCTCCAAAATCTCCTCTCAGGATTTTGGGTATGCATGCACACACACCAGGTATAAGTTAAACTGCCGGATCCAGGACTTGAACTGCGATCAACTACATGGGACTTCAGCAACATGACCATTATGCATTTGCTGGTCCCAATGATTTTATTTCTTCATAGGTGCTCAGTTCTGATTATACTCATTGCTGTTAGATATCTGGATTCTTTCAGGTATTTTGTGGTTCTAGTTTCTAAAAATGGTGGTTATGGGACCAGCAGTTGGAGTAATGGCTATGTCACTGGACTCCCATGTAGTTGACAGCAGTTCGAGTCCCAGACCCGGTGGCTTAAACTCATGCAAGGTGCATGTGTATGCATGCATGCCCAAGATCCCAAGAGGAGAATAGAGGAGAAGGGATTGTGGCATGGCCATCCCCCCTGGGGGGTGATTTCTTGCTTTCTGTCTCTGTCTCTCTCTGGTTTGTTTTCTGTCAAGTGCACGCACCCTATAGCAAAATCCTCTCAAAAAAAAAAAAAAATGGTGGTTATGAGTTTTTAAGTGTAGTTTTCTGGAGATAAACATACTAAAATAATAGAATTATGGTTCCTTTTTTAAAAAAATTATTAATTTAATTTTATTTTTTGTTTCTTTTATTTAATTTGATGAGAGAAAGAGAGAGAGAGAAAGTGAGAGAGTAAGCTGCCAGGTCTGAGACTTGAGCAGTGGTCAGCCATGTGGGAGTCCAGTTCCTTAACCACTATGCCACCTGCTTGGCCCTAGAATTATGGTTCTTAATATGATTAATTAATGGAACAACATGCACTCTTACCCGTATCTGTTTTCAAAACAGCCCATATAGTTAAGTTATGTGAAAAATAATATGTAAAGAAATATATCAAATTGAGCAGTTGGAATAAATGGGAAGTAGAAGATAAAGGAACAATTCTTTTAGGGAGACAGTTTTATGCAAATATTTGGCCTTGAACTTCCTTACCTAATGAATAGAAAGGCAGAATATTAGTAAGGATGACATTTTTCTCATAGGAAAAAGTTAAAAATGTATTTATATTTAAGATTTGGATGTTATTATTATTATTATGTTATGCTTATTATTTCAGCATTCCTAACCAATACCTACCATTTAAAACGAACTAGGTGTGTTTCAAGTGATACATCATAGCTATAGTCCATTAGCTTTTATTTGGCTAAACAATAAAGGATTTCATTTATAATTAAAGTGAAATCGTTAGGAGGTATACCATTGTTGTGTTTCTTTGTGGTCATGAAATAGTTTTCATTATTAGTTCTTTTTTACAAAGTACTGACTGAGACAAGCAGAGAGCATAATTGTGGACTCTCAAGTAGTGGACTGACGTTTAAGTCCTGGACTGGTGGCGTAAAACCCATGCGAGGCACATGTACATGCGTGCACAAAAATCCTGAGAGGAGAATGGAGGAGAAGGGATTGTGTCATGGCCATCCCCTCTGAGGGGCAATTTCTCGCTTTCTGTCTCTTTGTCTCTCTCTGTATTTCCAGAAAATGCAAAGATCTTTCTTAAAAATTGTTTATATTTATGCTAAAAAGATGAACTTTCCATGTGGAATATGCACTTGACTACTGTCCTGAAATGAGAAAATAAAATGGAATAAATAAACAATGTTAATGAAGCTTTCCCTGGATTTTTTTTCACATTTAGGTCTTAGAGTATCAGTCACTAAAATAAAAACTAATTTTTAATACCATACTACCTACTTTAGTATAAGGCAGATAAGTTGGTTGCTTATAAGGCTGTTTCTTCCTCTATAAACTACAAATTCTAATCTTAACCTCATAGAAAGTATCATAGGAAATATAAAATATAACACTTTCATGTGAGCATGGAAAAAGGTAATGGTTCAGGGCAGGAAACTGAGAAAGCTCCCAGTTGGTGGTATTGTAATATAATAGGAATTAATCAACTCTGAGACAGAAGCAGAGATTCTGCTTTGGAGTGTATTTCATAATTACAGGGTCTACATGCCTAGCATCTCTAATTAAAAAATGAAGACAAAAAGAGTTTTCATTGAAATATATTGATTTGGGGGTTTTTGAGTTAATTTTATAGTTTTCTTTTTTTCTATGTCATTATAAGATTTTCTTGTTCTTTCAGGTGTCCAGCTATTTTTAAACTACAGATGGAGCTTCTCATTAGGAAAATTCAACTATTGGGACTGGCAGGTGGCATCGTGGTTAAGGTGCTGGACTCCCACATGGCCGACAGCAGTTCAAGTCCCAGACCTGGTGGCTTACTTTCTCACTTTCCTTCCTTATCTGTCTCTCTCTGATAAATGCATGTGCCCTACAGCAAATAAATAAACAAATAAATAAATGAATTTTTGAAAAAAGAAAAAATTCAACTATGGTCATGGCCAACCTTCTTTGGGTTCCATCACCCTTTATTTTTGTTTGTCAATTTGTGATTATTTTATTCTACACTTACAGACTTATCTATAAATAGCTGGGCCTGTGGGATATATGTACACACTTTGGATGTGTTTTTTCCTTCTGAAACTGTAAATGTTGACATAGAACACTACATGTATTTGCAGGGGTTACAAAAATAGCATAAGTGAAAGAGATGATGGTTTTCTAAAATAGATATTTTCTTTAAGTTTGTCTTTTAAACTTGCTTTTTGTATTTATTACTTCATATTAATCAATCAACAGTTTTATTTGAAAGGGACTTAGCTCTTTTTTTTTTTTTTTTTTTGAGAGGTTTTTGCTATAGGGTGCGTGCGCTTGCCAGACAGACAGAGAGAGACATAGAGACAGAAAGCGAGAAATCACCCCCCAGGAGTGATGGTCACACTACAATCCCTTCTCCTCCATTCTCCTCTCGGGATCTTGGGCACGCACGCACACGCGCCCGGCGTGAGTTTTAACCTACCGGATCCGGGACGCGAATCACGGTCGAATACGTGGGAGTCCATTGATATAGCCATTACGCTAACTGCTGGTTCCCAGGGACTTAGCTCATTTTTACTATAGTTCATTATATGTAATAGGGTTTGGGTTTTAGTATTTACCTATTTATTAATTCTTTTTTAAAGAATTATTTATTGGGACCAGCAGATGGTGTAGCTGTTATGTTGCTGGACTCTCACATGGCCGACCATGGTTCAAGTCACAGACCTGATGGCTTGAAAATCACACCTGTGTACTTGCATGCCCAAGATTCCAGGAGGAAAATGGAGGAGAAGAGATTGTGGCATGCTCATACCCTATAGGGGGTGATTTCTCACTTTTTCTCTGTCTTTGCCTCTCTTTCTCTTTCTGGTGAGCACACACACCCTAAGGCAAAAACCTCCTTAAAAACAAGAGTTATTTATTTAGTTTTATTCATTATTATTATTTTCAACAATAGAGAATGGGTGCTCACCAGAGAGAGAGAGAGAGAGAGAGAAAGTGAGAAAGCGAGAAAGCAAGCCTCCAGATCTGGTACTCGATCCACAGTCAGCCATGTGAGAGTCTAGTGCCCCACAACCACCATGCCATCTACTGACCCCAAGACAGGATCTTTTTATGTTACCTAGACTGCCTTTGAGCTTGTGATCCTCCTGCCTCAGGCTCCTGAAGAGCTGGAATTCCAGGCACCATGACACTATGCCTGGCTAAAAATTAGTTTTTCTTTTTCCCAAAAACAAGATGCATTCCTACTTTCATTATATGCAATTGAAATATCTCATAGTTTTAGTTTCATACCAAATGAGGATAAGTGATAAATATACACAACTAAGTTGAAATGGAAAACAAAGAAACACAGGATTCTAGGTGTCAAGGTCACTGGTCTCTGCCAGCACGCTCAGAGGTGACCATTGGACTACACCGAATATCCTAGCTGCCCCTAGTTCTTGCTCTCTGGCAAATCACCTCCCCAAAGAAAGTAGAAACAGCTGATTTACCTTCTTTTCCAACTCTCCTTCCCCTCCCCAGCCCATGCTGACTTATGCTGATTCCCATATTCAGATTTGGAATAGTTACTTTTTCTGTATCTTTATGGGTAGCTGCATTATTTCTCTTTGACTCCTGAAAAAGGGACATTGTAGTAGAATTCTCACATTAGTGTCCTAATAGCACTAGTCTATATTTTAAGACAGTTTACTGTGTCATGTGTGTGATTGATACTGAATATCAAATTAAATATTTAAACAAGAAAGACCATGTGTCTGGTTTAACTTGTTTTGTTGTCGTTAGTTGAACCCTTCCCTGAAGGGTTGTGAGGTCTTTGTGAACAGAACTCATATATAATTCATCTGTATTTCTCCCATACCTAGCCCAATGCCTACCTTGTGCAGTTTGTTCAACAAATTCTTGATGAAGTGAAATAAATGTGTGATATTCTACCATTCTCCACACAGTAATGGAAACTACTTTTAGTTAATATAACTTTTTATATTTTAGTCAAGATAACTTTTTTACCATTCAAAAAAAATATGTGATGGGGCCAATAGGTGATGTGGCAATCAAGGGGCTGGATTCCACATGGCTGGCTCTGGTTTGAATCCTGAACCTGTTAGCTTTAAAATTACGCCACGCACAGGACCAGCAGTTAGCGTAATGA